TTTCACACAGCCGTGCTTTCCCATAAATAAATAAACAAATAAATATATATAGCTAGATAAAACTTGGTCGTATATTCTGCCGACCACTTCTTTTGGGACCTCTTGATGATCTAATTTACTAATGTCCATGCTATTGCGCTTTTCAATATATATGACGTTAGAGATTAGCAAATTTTAATCATGTATGTTATTGACTTTCACTTTCGATCTCTCAAACTAAGCATCCTATCAGCTACACAGGCTTACTAAATTTTTCTTTCGTAATGCGGTAGCTCTGCCAAAAATGTTTCCAACTTGCTTCTAGATCCAAATTTGGACACCAATTGAAATCATATTCGAACTCTGGTCTCAGTATAGCAGATTAATACCTTCAATATTAATCCGATTGTGGCAACATATAAGCTCTTTCTTTTTTGCTACTGTTCAAAGCCTTGGTAGGCTTATACAATACTCACATCATCCTGATGACTTCTGCCAGTCATTTGGCATCTTGCAGTCACCAAAGGCAGGTAATAAGGTCGATTTACGCCTATTAGGTTGAATGGTCGTACGACACAGTCTCAGCTTTTGTCTCACCTCGAACTTTTTACAGCAAAGCGATAATCATAAATAATACTTGGTGCTATAAAGATGATAAACAGTCTGAGGTTATATTACTTAAAAAAGTCCTTTTCTGTGCTTTTCTTAGATTTTTTTGTCAAGAAACACGATAAGTAATTTTGCCTAAATATCCAGGCCTAGTCTTCAGTTTCCAATATCATATCAAAGATTGGTTATTATCAGCATTTTTTAGCTTATTTATTCCGATTTCAGATCAATCGAAAGTAAGGTACAGTTTTCTTCTATATCTTGTCTAGGCCTGCGAGAACGGCCGAGGTGCGGTTTTGCTGTCTGTGGCGCGTGGCAAGATTTCCGAGGGCATTGACTTCGACCATCACTTGGGCCGATGCATAATAATGTTTGGTGTTCCTTATGTCTATACCCAGAGTCGTATCTTTAAGGTTATTCTTAAAATATATTATTAACGTAGTTTTTTTAAGTTTAACATATTTTACCAGTATTTTTTGTCCAAAGACATTTGCTTTTTTCAGCTCATAATTTTATTGTGGTCTAGTATGGGAGGTTGACATTAAAATATTTTTGATTTTAAATTATGGAAAAAGTAAACATTCAAGTTAATTTCAAAAAGACTGCATTCGTTCATAAAGGAAAGTGTAGAAAATATCGGTTCTTAAAGGTGATTTTGTTTTATCGACTAGCATCGGCCCGCTGCACCGAAACCCTAATTGGCTATTAATTGATACGGAATACAAAACTTTTGAGGCCTCTCGGTTCCTATCACCAGGTGTGCATGAATTACTCTTATATTCTAATATATTTTGTCAATTCGTTGCGGGCGTTTAAATTTATAAGCAACATCGGTATAACTTGGATATTGATGCCTTCCTGTTTCTATAGCTAAGTGGAAATATGTCCCTTAATTTTGATTTAAAATCCTTCTAGCCAGTTTCTCTTATTTTTATAATTATCCACTTAAAAAATCTAAAAACCTATGTTATCTGCTTCCTCTAATGTTTTCGCTAAGAAAAAACTTTTGAAGATTCTGGAAATCCAGTTTTCTGCAATTTTTCCTTTTAAGTATGTTAGTTTCTAAACATTATTTCATTTTTTGTAATGAGCCTTGAATATAATCATATAATTGATAAAATTGCCAATAAACGTGAAATTACTTTGAGGAAGCTCCTAATATAGTTCTAGTGGTTTTCCAGGATTTTTATAAAATGACGAAATACAAGCATTTGATTTGTATGAATACATTTCTTGGTATTTCCTAAAAATTTGATTCCAAGATACATATTTAGTTGGTAAAATACGTTTTTTATATTTATCATTATCTTATTTCAAGATAAATTTTAAATTGACTTCCTATATTAAACCATTTGTATTCAAACAAATCCCTTATGTCACTACATGCAAATTTTTTTATGGTCTTCCTTTAGAATCAAGTCAATAATATTAAACTATGAATTTTGGACTTCTTGTCAGGGCATTAGCAATTCAGCATAAAAACAATGCTTGTGTGCTAATCCTTACAATGCCCAATTTTTAGTAGTCTTTATTTTTAAAATCATTACATAATAATAATAAATATCGCTCACATCTCTATTTTCCTATTGTTTCGTTTTGTTTTCAGCTTATTTTATACTATTTATATCTTTAGGCAAGACTGGACTATCTACGTGAACAATATCACATTCGGCCTAATGAATTCATAACTTTCGATGCAATGCGGCATGCAGCCCAATGCTTAGGCAGAGCTATTCGTGGAAAGTCTGACTATGGCGTTCTTGTTATGGCCGATAAGGTGATTTTGCTACCGTTTAATCAGCAATGTTAGGAATTTTTTCGATATCCTCTGTATTTAAAAGAAAAATTCATCCAACATTTCATTATCTTGGCCCTGTTACGATTTTACTATATCTCAAATCCCATATCTCGCTTTTAGCTTTCACATTTAATCCTCTTATGTGACCTCATTTTTTAAATTCATGCCAGCGAGAAAAAGTATTTTGTTTCGCTATTATGCCCTCTGCTTCCCGGGTTTATGTATTTTATTTCATACATAATCACGTATAATACAAAAATTTGGCTTTTCAGGTGCTGCAAAATTCGGATGATTAATATTAGGAGATAGTTTGATAATCAAAATTCTTTGCTTTCCTCAAACGAAATCGGGTCCATATTTGTTCTACCATTTACTTTGTACGGACTGCTTGAAGGGCTTCTCAAATCAAAGCCAAGTAACCTGATTTCCTGACCAATCAAATCGTTATATGCCTAATTAAGTGGACAAAGTTAGGCTATATTGTTCATATTTGACCACTTCTTATCTTATTGCTTGGTAAAATTTTCTTCGAAAATGGCTTCATGCTCTGACAATGTTAAATTAAGTACGGAAAAATCGGAAGCGGAGGATGGTGTGCTAAAAAATTTACTGAAAAACCAATTGCCGTAACGCCAAGTCGATCCCTTTTCTATTTCCAGTACAGTCAACTTACGAACCCCTCCAAATTAACGGAAAGGTTCAATGACAAGAATTTAATTGGAGATTTTTCGAAATCCAATCCGCCTTAACATTTTTCAGATGCTTATATATATGTTTATTTATTTATACATATACCATAATTGGCGATACTATTTAACGTATAATCATTTATGTAGGCTATATTTTATTAGCTAATCAATTTAATCGCTTTCTCGCTGATAATGTATAGAATGTATTTAAAGCATTCTATCTGATCCCAGGTTTTATATTTTTTGCTTTGTCTATATTTTGCCCGATCGACTTCTCAGCGTTATGCACGGTCTGACAAACGATCTAAGCTTCCTGCTTGGATTCAAGCCCAGATG